GCGTGACCGAATCACACAGCGAGATGATATCTTGTCTACATATTTCTGTTACGGTGACACTGGTTTCGGAACTTCTAAGCCGTTAAAGCGATGAAAAAGATAAAATAATTGAAACATATATGTTTTTCTTCGTTCAACAAATGATCATTTAGTTCTTTCTTCGGTATGAGGAATGTTTTTAATTAGCCTAAAATCACGCTTACCTTTTTAACCCGAAATTCCTTTGAAGGTATGTAAACTGAAGACGATACCACTGCTTTTGACTTCATATATTAAGAACTCATACACTAATAGTAAGATTATTCTCAGTAGCGATCATGGATTTTTCATTATGAACAGATATTTCCTGAACTGGACTGCTGAACATCAATATGTAAGTATTCAAATGTTGGAGCGAGGCGAACTCTCAAGACCAAACAGCTTCGAGGTCATTGCGCGTCACAACATAGCAATACGGCGGGCCGTTCGTGTAATAAATGCAGACCCCAACAATCTTTTCAGAATATTCGTCTCAAATGTAAATAAAAGTAATAAACAACAATGCTAAAAAGTTCACTGGGAAATGAACTTGGTTGGTACGTGATCAAATCTTCTGAGAAGCCCTTCGGGCTTCACAGGATTTGATCACGTGACCAACCAAGTTCATTTCCCAGAGAACTTTTTAACATTGTTGTTTATTTCTTAAGTAAATTATTTATTATAACATGCATTTTCTTCGGGAACAACTATTTCAATTTCATTTGCATGGAGGTGGGTGCATGGGTGGGGTAAAACTACTGGGTAGATACACATGTATATAGAACCTGAACTTGAAAATGAATTATCTCTCCTCCACTGGAAAGAAGTTAATCTGACCTTGAATGCCCCCCCCCCCCGGCCGTTTTCAGTGAGTACATATATACAAAAAAAAATTTCCTATCATCTCCAAAATTAAACTCTGTCTGCAAGGGTATTATTGTTACTATTATGGTTATTCAGACAAAGTATCAAATAAATTACAAAGCACAAAACAATTTTATTAATAATATTATAAAAATAATAAAATAAATGCCATGACAAAATTCGACAGCACCCCCTTCCCATTTGAATGAAAAAATCAATCCTTTATCATGTTTTAATATAGATCTAACATTCATGCCCGTTTGTAATTCTTACCAGTTTGTACTGCAGAATGGAATATGTTTTGGCTGCAATCATTTGTTCTTTGCACAAGCGGAATATTGTAGACATGTATCATGATACTTGCTTTGTCCTTGCTTGTTTTAGGATGAGCCCTCTATCCGATACAATGATACATGCACAATGTTTGCTTGTCACTCCAGTAAACAAAACGTCATCACGAAGTTTTAAAGCATATAATAAAGGTTTTAACAAGTACAGTTTATCACAATTTCCATTTCTACACAGCGATACAACATAAAAGGCCTTAGCGCAGGGGCTGTTTGCTTGTTCAAGCTGGATTGTTGTTTTTTTTCTACATTCAAAGATCTTAAAAATGAGTTTTTCCACTTCCATAGTGCAATGATGCTTCACAACTCACTAGTTTTCATATAAAATGATCATACATGACCTTCTATATTCCATGTTGATATACAGGACTGTGATTTTTACCCAATAATACTGAAGAGTTCCAACAAGGGGAAATAACAATTTAACTTCAGGAAATTGGTTGTAGGGGTCTAAAATGAGCATTAGAAATTCATATGAAGTACCTAAATTAGTTATTCCTATTTTTAAAAATATAATAGACTTAGAATCTTTTTTTTCATTTAGATATTTAAGAAATAGTCTATAAATATGATAATAGACTGTTATTTAAAATATATGAAATTGGAGCTAAGTATGGTATTTCAAAGTTAATTATCAACATGTAGATATTATTTCCCAAGCTCAATATTTTACTACCTAGTAGACCTAAGACTATTCTAAATATTACACTTATTTGAATTTAATTTTTTACTTGGTCTTGAGAGAAAATAGCATATAAAAATGGCTAAAAAAATCATACCCATTGATTTAGAATCTATAAATAGACCTTTAGAAAATAAAACATTCATTTGAATTACATTTTTCTTCATTAATTGTATAAATAAGACCATGATTTTGAAAAGAAAACAAAATTTGAAAATAAACTGATGGCAGAAGGTCACTTTTTGAATTAAAAAGTTTGTATGTTTTTCCGTATAATTTAGTGTGATTTATGACAAATATGCAAATGAGATGTTACTAAAAATAGATGCGAGGTTCAACATTTTTTTGTAGATATTCTGACTTCTACTTTTATGCAGAAAATTTTAAGCCACTAAAAAATCCTATGTTGCAACCTTCCATTTGGACGATTTTTTGAATTTTGCATGGTTTTCTCGCAGACTGGCTCTTAAGTCAAAAACTTAGCAAGCTTTATGTTACGACCCCCTGAACATTTAAATCGAGCTGAATTAATTTTTATAAAAAGTTAGTATGTGGAAAGACTATGGTACGAGTTATCTAAAACCTGAAGATCCGGTAGGATGGCAGACGACAACAGAATCGGTTTCAATTTGCAAAACAGAGTTTTAGATTCTGAACACCCATCGCTTGTTGATCGTTATTACCAGTCAAAATACATCATAGGTAAAATACTTTTAAGACGTTCATGTGCGTTTTCAAAATTGAAAATCATGAACATGTTTAGAGCATTGTGTTATGTTTTCTGTGAGTAAATTCGAAATGAACACATTTTTATTGAGATTGAAATAGTATATGCAACAAAATGTGCAAGGAACTTATATTTATATATATTCCCTACTCAGAGTACTCTAATCAGAAGGCGAGTAGTACCGAGAGATAGATAGATGTAGGTCCCTGGTACATGTGTTTTCCATCTTGATCTATTTCAAACTTTGCAAGCAAAAGTCGGATTATGTACCGCTTGTACTTGGGTCTTGGTTTATAAATTATATGTATGGTATTTATTTTTTTTTTTTACATATCAATAAGGTACATACATATTTATAAATCAAGACACAAGTGCCTGTGTTATATATCAATGAAACAGTCTGCTGATGAAGATGTATTTTACAGTACAGATCACATCTGTTCCTGCATATTGTTTGGTGTATTCTCTATTGAGAAGTTGATGGTTTGTTTTAATACTCCCCCTCAACTTCTCTTCGAAAGGCCTAATAAAAGCAGTTCAGAAAATGACTAAATGAAGAACCAAACTGGGTCCCACTTCTATCGATGTTTTAGCTCAGATGCGATACCATAGACATATTTTGGATGCATAGATGTTGTTTTGCAATGGAAATGTAATTAAAAATACCGATTCTGCTGACTTAAAAAACATTTATCACGGTAGAACACTTACTTGCGATATCTGTGTCACTGGATTCGTTTATTCATTGAAAACTGAGTTTGAACCCGGTTGACCTCTAAAAAAGTCTAAAAAAAATTTCCGGATAAATTGGATTAAATGATCCAGTGTTAAAAAGTTATCCAGAGGAATAGTTTTAAACTTATTTAGAGGTCATCCCGGGTTCAAATGCAGTTTTGAATGAATAAACGAATCCGGTGACACAGATATCGCAAGTAAGTGTTCTTTCATTAAAAACATGTTTTAAGTCAGCGGAATCGGTATTTTATTTGGATTTCTATGGCAAAATAACATTTGTGCATCTAGACTACGTCTATGATATCGCATCAGAGCTAAAAACATCAATCGAAGCGGGACCCGGTTTGGTTCTTCATTTAGTAATTTTTCTGAACTGCTTTTATTAGGCCTTTTGTAGAGAAGTTGAGGGGGAGTATTAAAACGAGCCATCAACTTCTCAATAGAGAATATGTTTGGTGTAGTGCTTTATTATAAAAACATAAAAATGAATTGCATATTAATTCAAGCAACTTGCATTTTTGCGAAGTCTGCCATTTTGATGCATACTTTGCATAAATATTTGAAATGTACTCTGGTGAAGTTTTAATAAAAAATGTGATAAAAAAGTCAAGGTAAAGACTAATGATAACTGCGGTACTGCTCTTTTGCAGAACAAAGTCGATATTTTTTTGTGAAATATGATGTAAAAACAATTGTTTAATATCCGTCATTTAATTTATATCAAAAACTTTGCCAAACATTATTAATTTGCCCTACAAAAGAGTAGTACTGCAGTTATCGTGAAAGGACAAATTAGTGTTGTGTGAGGGGCAGAAAAATCTTAATTTTAAGTTACAAATAATGCTTGGATTAGGGTACTTGAAAAAATGCAGAGAATTGGGTCAAATTACAAATATCTGAGATGAACGGGTAAGTTTTCAATTTGTTTTAAGACTTGGGCATTTCTGCCAAAATTCCAAGTTTAATTTGTATGTAACCATGTACCATTACCTTTGAAGAAATTTTGTTTGATTCCTAATTTATTATATGGTTATGGACAAAAACTATTAACTGCCAAATCTCACTTCAACTTCATTTTATACTGAGTATGCTCTTGAAATTTTAGAAATAGTTGTTTGGGTAGTTCAAACCTATTTCAAAACCCTTCGTGCATACCCTTGAATAATTTTTAAAGTAATGATAGCATAAAATTCTGAAAACATTCTATCAGGTGTTAATTTTGGCACATTTGTACATCTTTTCTTTCTTTTAGATTCACAGTCGAGGAAGGATGAAGATATATGCATATTAACCCACTCCAACAGGTGTCTGCCATAAACTTCTTAGTTTTAATGATATACTGTATGTGTACTTAAAAAAGCGGGCTTCATATTTTAGCGGCTTTGGCGCAGACAAGGATGCGCTAATACATGAATACTGCTAAGAAATAATTAATAAATACATTATATGGCACGGACATGTATAGCGCTTATTCATGATTTCGCCAACAACTCCATACCCAGTGATTGCGCTAAATTTTGAATATGCCAATTTATGTACACATACAGTATTTATGATTTGTGTAAAATTTGATAACCTCTGCTGATTCTTTTCCCTACTTTATAAATAATTTTCTTTTACTTCTGTGACAGAATTTGTATTGTGACTGTATCAGAATGGCACCCAATCATCAGAGAAGGGAAGACGGTGTCAAAGATCAATTTTGAAGTTGATGGGATGAACCGACTGGACAATAAAATATCTGGAAAGGGAAAGAGAGTACGTCATTTAACTGCTTGCATGCAAAATTCTTTACATAATTGATTTTAAAATGTTTATTGGGTAATTGAATGGAAGCACTGTATTAGCCAGGGCACAAATCATTTAAACTCCTAGCTCTGAAGAAAGTAGAATTAAATTTAGTTACCTATCACTGAAAAAAAAAAAGGAATTGAATTTATTCACCTAACACTGAAGAAAACTGATATTAAATGTGTGATCTTCATGTGAATGGCTCATCAACCATGGATCATGTTGTTAGATTGATGGACAATGTTTTTTTTTTAAATTTCAATTTCAGGGAGCACAACTCTTGACTCCTTCCTCTCCACTCTGTGAGGTCACTTGTACTGATGAATCTAAGTATACTGTTATATGTGGAGTTAGGGCACAGCTTATTGAAGCCAATGAAAATCTAGTCAAGTCACCACAATTATTGACACAAAAGGTACATTTAAATATGATCATTTTCTCTTATTATGCATGTATAGCTTTGGGAGGACAAAGTTTTACTTTTTAAACAATTTTTTTTTAAAATTGATAAAGATTTAACATTTGTTTTTAAAGTCACTGAAAGTGATGACTTACAGGGGTTTTATCACATCTCAAAATTTTTTGACATGACAAAGTTTACATGCTATTAAAATTATATATCTAAAAATCTTTGCTAGAAAATTAATAATGCTGATGTTTCAGCGATTCAAAATTTGAATTTCTCAGTATGCATATTTTGATCGCCTCTGCTATGCGCCATTGCTCTGACGTCATAGGTGTCAATCCTGGTCAAGCAAAGTACTTATTGTGTATACAAAATGGCTCATTCATTGTGTCTTTTAAACCTGTTAGTAAATAAATAAGTGATAATTGGATAACTGACAGCTAGTAAGGTATAATTTGTGGCTGTAGGATGCACAAATGCGCACAAGAAATGTTTTCAGAGACTTTTTTCCACATTTTCTGGACTTTGTCGAGAAGTGAAAGGGGGCCCTTTTTTCTGCAAACACGAGAGCTTTGTCTCCATTCAGAAAAATAGTTTATGCCCAATCACGATTTTTTTCCTGTACCATAGAATATTTTAAGGACATGGTACCTTATCAAAATGAAAAAAAAACCCAACACACATTTTTAAAGTCGCACAGAATCTACTACATGCTAGTAGGAATGTTGTGAACTTCATAATGGAGTATGGCGCCATTGAACAGTGTTCAAGAAATGTCATTTCTAGTACATGATATTCATGGCAACAGAGAATATTTACATACAGTTTATTAAAATAATGGAGAAGTTGAATTTGAAATTCTCATATTTATAAATATTTACGAAGTCCAACTTTAGTTATTCATTCTATTTAGTTGGAAGTCTCGAGTTGTCAACGGCTTCGTCTTTGGTGTCCTCTCCTATTGTCGGCATATTTTCTTGGTTATTTCTCGCTGCTAGACATTCGTTCATAAAAAGATTGACCGTCCATAGCTAAAAGAATATCGTCGATGTCAAAATTTCCACCGACCTTATTGTGTAGTGTATATTATTTAATGGCAAAATCTATTTGATACATTTTTCTTACGATAAGCTTTACGAGTTCTATTGACCATTGAGACCTATGATGTTTCAGTACCACATGACCCCTATCTAATTAGTGGAGATTTTCACTTCGAGAACTCTATATTACGAGTGTTTTATCACCTAATTGTGACTGTTTTCAAAGTTATTTCATAATTAAACGATAATTATATGTTTCAAGAATATAATAGTGTTTCATTTTTAAAAAAATTAGATACGTGATAAAAACCCTTTAAACATGTTAAAGTGTCTGTATTATACTAGAAAACTTGATTTTCATTAGTTCTTTTTAGCCAACTGCCCAATTACTGTCATAAGGGTATATAATCAACCAACATTCATTTGTGATGAAGCCTGATTGCCTAATATAAGGGCATATTATCAACCAACATTTATTTGTGATGAAGTATCATTGGCTAATATAAGGGCATATTGTCAACCAACATTTATTTGTGATGAAGTCTCATTGGCTAATACTTGTAAGGATTTTATGAATCACTATGAAAAACCTTAATATAAGCAACCCAGCTTTTCTGTTTAATTAATATTGATATCACTGCATGAGGAACAGGTACACAAGAACAGATATTAAATCATGTAAATAGAATTACAGTCAAATCTTGTTATCTTGAACTCCATGGGACCGAGAAAAAACTTCAAGATATCCTAATGTTTGAGATAGCCGAAGTTTGGCTTCAATTTTCATTTTTTGGGGAAGGAGTCAACATGCCTCTCACATAGTTTTATAATGAATTACACTTCATTTTTTCAACAATCTAATAAAATTTAGATGTTCTGAATCCGCTACCACTTCTAAAAAATTTTACAAATTCAGAAAAGAGCGAACTAAAGTGATATTCACGTTTTCCAATATTAATAATTTTCTATTTGTAACTAATTATAAGCAGAATTGTACTTTTATTTTGTGTCTTGTCATGATAGTTTGCTTAGTCAACACAATGGGGTGTTGTATACACTATATAAATGTAAAACTGGAAATGATACCCTTTCCTTAGATGATTATAAATGCCAGTTAAGCTGTAAAAAATTTATTTCATGCATATTATTTTGTCAAGAAATTTAATCATAACATTCCAAGAGCATTTGAATTTTTATAGACAAACACATGAAAGTAAATAAATGTTTACATTTTTTAACCATGTTGATAACTTGGCAAGGGTGGCTTTAATGATATTTATTCTTTTTTACTTCTGTCTGAACTTGAAACTTTGTTTCAATTGCACGTACTGTTTGTTTTCTTTATTTACAACCAGATATTTATCCCCCCCCCCCCTCCCCGGATTTAGACCAGGTCCTTCAATGGATTGCTAATAATGGCGAGTTTTCTTGTGACATGACGTGATGTGATTCAATGATAAAATTTAGCATGTTTCCTTGTTTCCTTGCCCAGTTGTCATGTCCTTACTTCAGTGTGTTCTTGTCTGGTTTCCACCACAATATTTCTTTGTCCTGTTGTCCTTGTCCTGTTTTTGTCCTAATGTCTTTATCACATTGTCCTTCCTACAATATGTCCATGTTCTGTTCACACCACAGTATGTTCTTGTTCTGTTGTCTTTACCATAATGCAATCTGGTCCTGTTGTCCTTTCTACAATATTTTCTTGTCCTGCTGTCCTTAACATAATGTGTCCTTTAATGCATTCTTACCTGAAATATCCCTTTCCTCTTGTCTTTCATAATGTATTTTCTTGTCATGCTTTACTTTCTACAATATTTTCTTGTACTGTTGTCCTTCCAACAATATGTTCTTGTTATGTTGCCCTTACCCAATATTTTCTTGTCCTGTTTATTTTTCAACAATATTTCATTGTACAGTTATCCTTCAAGAATATTTTCTTTTCTTGTTTTCCTTCCAATAATATTTGCTTTTCTGTTTGTTCTTACCACAACATGCCCTTTTAATCTTACCTGAAATGACATTTTCCTCTTGTCTTTTATAATGTATTTTCTTGTCCTGTTGTCCTTTCCACAATATTTCCCTGTCATGGTGGCTGTTGTCATTCTGACAATATTTTGTTCTCCTGTACTTCCCACATTTTCTTGTCCTTTTGTCCTACCAACAATATTCCGTGTCCTGTTGTCTTTACCGCAATATTTTCTTGTTCCATTGTCCTTACCCAATATATTCCTGTCCTGTTGATTTTCAACAATATTTCATTGTACTTTAAAAATATTTTCTTTTCTTGTTTTCCTTCCCATAATATTTTTTGCCCTGTTGTTCTTAACACAACATGCTCTTTTAGTCTTTCCTGAAATGACATTTTCCTCTTGTCTTTCTTAATGTATTTTATTGTCCTGTTGTCCATCCCAGAATATTTTTTTGTTTAGCTGTCTATTCCTACAATATATCTTTGTCCTGTTGTCTTTACCACAATATTTTCTTGTTCTGCTGTCTATCCCACTATATTTCCTTGTCATGTTGTTCCTACCACAATATTTTCTTGTCCTCTTGTACTTCCCACAATATTACGTTGTCCTGTGACCTTCCCTCAATATTTCTATGTCATGTTGTTCTTCCCTCAGTATTTTCATGTCATGTCCTCAGTATTTTCATGTCATGTCCTCAGTATTTTCATGTCATGTCCTCAGTATTTTCATGTCATGTCCTCAGTATTTTCATGTCATGTCCTTCCCATAATATGTCTATGTCCTGTCATCCATCCCTCATTATTTCCATGTCCTGTTCCCCACAATATTTTCTTTTCCCACAGTATTTCTTTGTCCTGTTGTCCTTGCCACTATCATTTTTTTTAACCTGAAATGTCCTTTTCCTCTGGTCTTTCACAGTTTACTTCCTTGGCCCTTTGTTCTCTTAGTCTTTGTGGGATGTTATATAGGACATGCCACCATTGGTATATGTCTATTTCTTTTTCCCTCTCCTGTTTAATTCAATTTTTCTGATATATCAGATTTTATTTTATTTTAATTTGAACTTATTACCGGTATGTCGTCCATCTCAGAATAGAATATAGTATACATTTAGAAATGTGAAATATAAATTAAAATGACTTGGCCATTGAGACAAAGGCCAACTCTTTTCCTGAAATTCAGCAGGACAGTCAAAAAAAAAAAAAGATACATCATCGGAATTCAACTACAGTGCCTGTAGTTTCTGTTATTTGTGACTCCATTCCGAAGACTCAGTTATGTGTTAAATGTATCTTGTCAATTATGTAATGAATAATTTGTTTGAAAGAACGCAATACAATTGAGAATGATAGGGATATTTTTCCCCTCCTTGCTAATTTACAGAAGTGTATCTGGGGATTATTTATTTGTTTGTTTTTGAGGACAAAAGCATCTGGTTCTTGTAATTTTATCACTCTATCTCTCATGTAGAGCCGAGAATGAATAATTAGCATCTCTCACGATTAAGTTGAATATCGGAAAAAAGTCACATTCAATCCAGTATTAAATGTAATTATTCAATTCATATTTGAGATAACTATTCAATTCATATTTGGGAGATGACAATTATTAATGTTAGATATAAAATCAATTTTTCGTAAGTATGGAAAATGATAATGGAGAATGATCTATAATAAAGTGCTTTCTTTAGAATTCAATAAAGTGACTATTTGGATTCTCAGCTTACACATGATAGGCAAATTTCTTTATTTATCTTGCTATATATGATTAAAGTCAACATTTTTTACAAGGGTTAAGTTAGATGAGGAAGACAGAGGTGTTTGTTCATACTCTGCATGCCAGTTAAAGTATTAACGAAACAATCTTTTTTACCCATCTAGAAGTACGAGTTTATCCGTGCATGATACAGTCTTTGAAAAGAGTTCCAAAACTATTTCTTGCAAGTAATTGTTAAAATTAGAAACCTTATTAAAGCAGTGCTAATTGTCCATGTAAACAACCACGTGCTGCCAAATTTGATTTCGGGGAAGAACATAACCGCTCCTTTTTCTGTCGACAGCATTGTCATTTAGTTATTATGAAGCGAAAGTAAAAACGTCTTTGACATAACAGATATAGACGTTCAACTCAAGCACCGCTTCGCACATTTGAAGAACGGTGATAAGTGGCATTTGTGTCAAATGCCTTGGCTGTATTTTTGACAAGACTGTAGGAGATTCCATGAGTGTCAAAATCGTTTAAGTGTTCTCCCTCCTCTTTCTATGGGTTCTATAATTAATTATAACATGTTAACGATGTACGATGCAGTAAAGTAGGTATTTTAATTCAAACTGATTGTTGAAAGTTTTGTAGCATAGGGTAAAAGGCTATCTCATCCCTTCATTAAAGACTATAATCTTGAAACTCAAGCTATTTTTGTGGATAAAGCTGGTCATAAACTAGCTGAACAAAGAACATCTTAGGATATGTATTTTATGTTAAATCAATAAAGAACTTAGATCAAACGTTAGGAAGAAGTGAAATTCTTATAGTTAGAAAAAAAATAATTAAGACACTGCAAGGGATGATTTTGAAAGAATTGTCTAAAACAAATATTGAAATGCTTTTATAATTATTTTCAATCGTATAAAAATACTTTCTTCAAACACTAGCTTTTAACCCCTTCGAAATAGGAGTTTTTTTTTTTAATTGATAAAAGAAGAATTTTCGAAAGTTTTGTATTTAAAAATTAACTTGAGAAATTCCCTAAACGCTCCGTTTACATCTGGAACCTGCTCAAAGACCATACCTGAATGAATGAAGAATGACTAAATGTCAGCAGTCTTATGTAATAGAAGTTATTTCTGTCCAATTTGCTTCCCTCACTATTGTTTCAGGCTTTCATTAGTAATTACATTGATGTATGGGTTTATCTAATGAATCTTATCTTGCACATTTTATTTCACCACTTGTTAAAAAACCCAGATGTTCCGGATAAAGAAACGTAATTAATTCACAAAACAGTGTTTAACATTGAATTTCACTGAGAAATCGCGGTGGAATTTTGTATTGGATTTTTTTGCACTTTACAAATATGCTTGAATTTTGTTATAAAAACCTTCAATCAGTCTTCCTATCAGCTTTATCATGAAGCGAAAGAAATTATTCTGAAACACCTGCTTTCTATAGGGCGTATCAAATATAACGAGTAAACTTGGCTTTCCTTATAACCGCTGATTATATACTGATATATTTATCGATTCTGATTGATGGGTTGGCAGTTTCAAGTATCCGTAGATGTTTTCTTCGCTGTTTAGTACAACGTAATAGATAAGTTGGAACTGGGAACTCAATGACTTCATTGTTGTTATAAAACTTTATATATATATTCCATATATAATAGCAGGTTTCTGTGGCGGGTGTAGAATTTGGCGGAATCTTTTTTTATGGAACGGACTCAGTGTTCCATGAAGTTGCAAATCAGTAATATAATTTGGAACCGCTTAATAGTTCTTCATGTTCCTTAAATACGTAGATATATCATTTGTTCGTTTGTATGTTTGAATACCGATTTACGCAGGAGTATATTAATAACACAATGATCGAAGTTAATTTTTTTGCCTTCAGTACTTTCACTCAATGATGCAAATTTAGCGAATAGAAATTAAGCGGGCTACTTCTAAACCTCTAAACTTGCATCCCGCTAAAATTCCGCTACTTAGTACAACTTATTGTATATGTATGTATGTTATGTTTTATTTAGTATTTTTGATCTTGTTGTTATATTATTTTGTTTTTTAAGCCACAAACAGAAGGATATATTGCAATTGTCCTCCCAAAATTAGGAGATTTTGAGTCTGCAACAAAGAATTTACTGTCCAAGGAGGAGTATATGAAAATACGTTTCTCAGGAACTTGAAGTGATGCAACCTCAAGAAAATCAATGCATTGTTTTTGTCAAATGACTGTTATCATTGCAACTTATACTTAAAGGTGTACTTCTTTTAATTTTCTTACAGTGTGTAACCATTAAAAATGTTTCACAAAACAGTGTATCATTGTCCTTACTGAAATATTGGGTTTATTATCAGATCTGAATGGTTGATGCAGTTTTACTTTGAGGTAAGTAGATTTGTTTGTTATTTATTGATACCTGTTTTCACTAACCAGTTTGCTTTTCCAATCCAAGCAGAAACCCTAATTGCTAGAACATCTTCCGAGTTCGATCAATTTTTAAACTGAGGCAGGTTAATGAAAAGTGTTGGCCATCATACAATCATTTAAAGTCAGCTTTTCAAGATTTCTAATCGTTGTTATAATGATCTTGTATGCAAGTGCATCCTATGGTTTGGTCGTATTTTGACTGACGTGCTTCATACCAATACGTTCTATTTCCATTAGTGAACTCTTCAAAATTAGAGGCGCGTTTGGTCGTCTGACTGGGACAGCAGGTGTCATAACAGGTTGCACAACAGTATTAAATTTTGCTATATATTCTTACCAAAAATGCGCAACTTTGAGTAGGTGGTATTAATTGAAAACAAACTTTTGAGAAGTTTCCTTTTCAGATCTTTATAAAGATTTTAGTACCAAAAAATACATAGCCATCCAGCAAGGCACGCAAGTTTGTCTCGCTCGAAGTCGAGCAGGTGCTTGAAAATCAAGTCTAGGACCTAATCACTCCCCACTCAAATACAGTATATAGAAAATTCAGCACGCCCTAAATTTTAATGAATCTAGTCAATATAGGAAGTTTACATATTGTTTTTCATCTCATAAAAAAATTCAGCTCCAGTCTCGTGTTAAAATGCCCGAATCGGAAGGGAAGATTCAGGAATTATTTTGCGTCAGCCATCATTTGACGTGAACCTCAAGTGAAATACTGTTATGACACCTGCAGTATTTCACTTGAGGTTCACGATTTCACTTGAGGTTCACGTCAAATGATGGCTGACGCAAAATAATTCCTGAATCTTCCCTTCCGATTCGGGCATTTTGAACACGAGACTGGAGCTGAATTTTTTTATGAGATGAAAAACAATATGTAAACTTCCTATATTGACTAGATTCATTAAAATTTAGGGCGTGTTGAATTTTCTATATACTGTATTTGAGTGGGGTGTGATTAGGTCCTGGACTTGATTTCCAAGCACCTGCTCGACTTCGAGCGAGACAAACTTGCGTGCCTTGCTGGATGGCTATGTATTTTTTGGTACTAAAATCTTTATAAAGAATTGTTTTACAAGATCTGAAAAGGAAACTTCTCAAAAGTTTGTTTTCAATTAATACCACCCACTCAAAGTTGCGCATTTTTGGTAAGAATATATAGCAGAATTTAATACTGTTGTGCAACCTGCGTGGCGTTGCGCATAATACAAAACATGCCAATCTCAATCCAGTTTTAAATGTTACATAGGCGTCGGACCCGGGGGGGGGGGGTCGGGCTTAGCCCCCCCTTTTTTCAAAGATAGGCATAATATAGGCATTGAAAATTGGGGCTTACCTTTTTTCGTTGGTTTAGCCCCCCCCCCCTTTCAATTAGCCACCCCACTTTCAATTTGCTTCCGACGCCTATGTGTTAAATGTATTTGTCATTCCATTTAAAGAATAGAAGAACTAAAAGACATATGTAAGAGAGCGAGAACCCTAAATTTATCATCCATTAATAAAAATACTACATTTCCGAGGCATGTGTATTGTATTTAGATGTACCATACGATAAATAGATACATACGATCAACAATAGATATAAATTGATACCGTTGTCATTCCTACTCTTGATGTATATAAAGTCCACAACAATAAAATATTTCATTAGCATTTTCTTAGGATTTGTTCATCGACATTTAACATATTGTTTACATGTTTATGTTACGTTTGTCCCAGAAATCCCGTGAGATTTGTACATTTTCCGACTTTTTCAGAAAAGAGCGCACTAAGAAGTATAACTCTTCCATAGTGGAAATAGAACGTATTGTTAGGCATTTGTTTTACACTGATTTTGCAACGGATTACTACGTTTACATGATAAATACAGAGGGTTTAGAGCAGATGTGACCTGTCGACAGGGGGTGCTTAATTCTCTTAGGCACCTGATCCCACATCTGGTGTTTCAAGGGTGTTTTTGTCCCTGTTCACGAATGTATTGTTTACACGATTTATGTCATTATCTTTGCCCATTTCAGAGTAGAAGCAATTTAGGCTACGATTTTTCGTGTTGATATGTCAATGTACAATTTCATGAAAATAGACATCGCAGTAAGATGCAACCATTACAGAGATTTAATTAATAGTTAGAATCTAAAATAACGTATATACTCGCTTATAAGTCGGTCCGCGTACAAGTCGGTTGTATTTTTATGCCCCCGTATCGAAGATAATTTTTGCCCTGTCCCGTCTGTCTGTTTGTCCAAAAACTTGAACCTTGCCCATAACTTTTGATTGGTTGGAGTTATGGCTTTCATATTTCACATGTGTATTCCTTGTGACAAGACCTTTTTCTGGGTACCATCATATTTGACCTTTTGACCTTGTCCTTGGAGTTTGACCCAGTTTTGCAAACTATTTCCAAACTTTAACCTTGCCCATAACTTTTGAACAAATGGTGCCAGGGTTTTTCATACTTCACATGTGTAATTCTTGTGACAAGACCTTCCTTTGGATACCAACAACTTTGATCTTTTGACCTTCAATTAGGGGTTTGACTTCTGAAAAACTTTAACCTTGGTCATAACTTTTGAATGGTTGGTGCTAGGGCTTTCCTACTTCACATTTGTAATCCATTTGATAAGACCTTCCTTTGGATACCAACAATTTTGACCCTTTGACTTTGACCTTGGAGATAGACCTAGTTTTGGAAAACTTTAATCTTGGCCATAACTTTGAAACGGTTGGTGCTAGGGCTTTCATACTTCTCATGTGTATTTCTTGTGAGAAGGCCTTTCCTTGGGCACCATCTATTTTGACCTTGACCTTGGAGTTTGACCTACATTTGGAAAACTTTAATCTAGACCATCACTTTTGAACGGTTGGTGCTAGGGCTTTCATACTTCATATATATGTAATCTTTGTGATAAGACCTTCCTTTGATACCAACAATTGTAATTGACCTTGACATTGGAATTTGACCTACTTTTGAAAAACTTTAACCTTTGTCATTACCTTTGAACGATTGCTGCTTTGGCTTTCATATGTCACCTGTCTATTTCTTGGGAGAAGACCTTTCCTTGGGCACCATTAATTTTGACCATTTGACCTTGATGTTTGACATACTTTTGAAAAAAAAGTTAACCTTTTTTATATCTAATCAATGGTTGCTGCTAGGGCTTTCATATTTCACAGGTATATTCCTCGAGACAAGACCTTACTTTGGGTATCAACAAATTTGATTTGTGTTTGACAAAGTTTAACCTTTTGTATAAGTTGCCATACGGGGGCATCAGTGTTTCAGAAACACATCTTGTTTTAGATTAATTTTTGAAAAATTATCCATTAACTCGCTTATAAGGCAGTGCAGATATTTTGCTAGAATCTGTAAACAATTTTTGATTAATAATCTATTGTATTTACCAGAGTTTCAAAGTATATTTTTGGGTAGACATCGATATTTGATTTTTTATTTACAATTCCAACAAATAAAAGATCATTTAAATCTCTAAGTGCTTGTCCTATGTGCATGTGGTAACTTTTGATCTTCATTACCTGCATTAGATTAAGTTCCAATCTTTACAAACAATTATCGTTGGAGTTGTTACAATATTACTAAATTTTCTCTTCCATAAAAATAACAAATTTTCTAGGACTCACCTATAAGTCGGACCTAGACTTTTGGTTCAAAATATAATTCCCCAAAAATCTGACTTATAGGCGAGTATGTACGGTATTGTTCTTGACAAAACACGTATGATCAAATGTGTCGTAATCAGGCATGGGGTCATCGTAATCGAGTAGTTATAGCCGATAGTAATGATTTTTCCTCCCAGGAATCCACAGTAATCTGTAATCGATTTCGAGATTTTCGGTTACTTTTGATTTAACCGATTACAGCAAAAATTTTCTGTGGAATTGTTATAATATTTTTTCAAATATCTTTCGAATACTCTGAATAAAAATATCTATATTATACATATTATAATTTTCAACCCCACGCGCCCTTTTGAATATTGGTTCCTATGAGAATTATATTCAGCAGAAATCTGTTCGCTGTGATTTCCACTGCCTGGCAGATTTTTGTATTCATTGTTTAGATATTTGTATTCATTTTTACACGCCTTGAATCCCCCGCGTGGCTCAGTGGTTAGAGCGTTTAATCTTAAGTCGCGGAGTAGGGAGTTGATCCTTATATCGCGGGTTTGAATCCCACTGCGAGACGTGGAGACCGGTCCTTCGGATGAGACCATATAAACCGAGGTCCCGTGTCGCAGAAGGTGCTGACACAAGAAGAACCCTCACTGTTCACTGAGTGCCGAGTATAGGTCTTAATTTTCAGCCCTCCTCCGGCAAGTAGTGGCGTCTCCATATGAGTGAAAAATTCTCGAGAGGGACGTTAAACAACAAACAAACAAAACACAATGTCTTGGAAAAATTGCTTTTAACAGCTGTATATGAGGAATTTTTAGCGAGCCGCAAATTAAGTACCCCCCCCCCCCAAAAAAAAAAAAAACATCAATATTTAAATCTAGCGAGAAGTAATGTTAGCGATTTCGTGATGCCTAGAAAGATATCAGTAACCTCCAATACGGAATGAATTGTTAGGGATGTTCAATTTTTGTGAACTCAACACTCTTGCTAAAAAATAACAAAAATTAAATTCTCGCTAAAATGTCTGTTTATTGCTATAGGTCGGGAGGGGCAGAGTATGGAGCAAGTGAACAGGCCTCTGCAGCCTCAGGAGGGATCAGAGCAATTTTGCAGGGCCTAAGTTGAGTCACATTTTGTCCGCCGTCACGAAATGTCCGCCTCTTTTTCAGAAAAAATTGTCACGTTATGTCCGCCGTCACGAAATGTCCGCCTTTTTCCCAAAAAAAATCGTCAAACTATGTCCGCCGC